AACAGGGAAGTTTAGTACCTTGCTCAAGATTACACATTGAGTAAATGGTGGAGTTGGGATTGAAATCCAGGTGATCTGGTTCCAGAGTCTATACTCTTAAGAGCAGGAACAATAATAACTCCAACCATTTATTAAATTCTTAAGATTTATCCGGCACCATGCTACATGCTTGTATTCAAACAGAGGCTGGTGATCATCTTTTAGAAATATTTTAGAAATTATTACTTAATTGGATAGAAATTAAATTTCTTGAATCTCAAGGTTCTGTTATTCCAAGGGTGGCTGGAAATGCGGGAAAAGCCAGCAACAAGATGATGTCTGGCCTGAGGCTTTTAAGATGATCAGAATTTATATCAAAAAGGAAACTGTGAACATGAATGATAAGTATTATAGGAATTCAGTTAACAAGTCTTGTCAGAATGTGGTAATAAATTATATACAACTTAAAGAGATTAAGTTACTTTAAATTGTGTGTGGAAGCCTTAGAAAAATGGAATAATTAAAGTTTCTTGGGAAAATGATCTCCTTTTTCAAATGTTTAGTTTCAAATAGTGGCAGCACATACTAGGGTAGAGAGATGACTTTTAGAAAACTGAACATATGGGACTAGAGCAGTGTATTTTGGAGTCAGTTACAGGAAGGAAGTTATTTAAAACCAGGTGAACAACAACAGTAACAAATGCATTTGAGAGAAAGAGCAGTGCAGTCCAGACTTAAACATTAAGGTGGCCACAATAGATGGGGAAGAAGGAGATATCAGCAATCCAGACTAAGACTTCACTGGGCTTTAAGGTAGCAGAGGGAGTCAAACAAGCCAAGGTAAAATGATTAAAACAGTGCATGGAGTGGTTAGCAATTCTCCCTATAGGAGAGAGAATTTCCTTATGAGTCTCAGATGAGACCACTGAGCTTAACTAGAGGAAAGTCATTGTTTTAGAAAACAGTTTCTAAGCAATAATTAGAATTAAAGTTTTGTTGCAGAGGGATAAGTAAGAAGTAGATGGAAAAGAAAGAGAAATATCTGAAATTAGGCTTCAGTCATAGAAGGTTTTTGTGAAACAATAATTTGGAAAGGGAAATGGGACTTCGTGAAAATGTAGGTTAAAAGAGACTTGTATATGTCCTAAGATGAAAGAACTAAGCTGATGTCCAGCCCTCTAAGAACATTTTAAATATAAATCAAATCTTTATTATATTAATACTAACAGTAGGTCTAGTTTCACATAGAGCAAATATGTGGTTCTGTACATGGGCTTTAGGAGAGTAAGTCTGTTGTATCTCATGTCTAAGTATTATCCCATTTAGAGGAAAACCCTAAGTCCTTCTTTACAGTGGCTTAAAGGCCCCAGCTGATCCAAATCCCAGTTACGGCTCTCATCTATTTTCTGCTGCTCCAGGTCTGCTTGCTGTTTCTCAAACACGCCTGGGCTGCTCTCTGTGTTATGGCCTTTGCATTTGCTGTTTCCTTTCTCATGAATGTGTTTCCCTAAGATACCTGCATGATTACTCTCACCTCATTCAGGTCTCAACTCAAGTATTGTCAGTGAAGGCCTTCTCTGATTTTCCTATTCTAAACTGAGATACTTCTCTTTACTCACCCCACACCCTCATCCCCAACTCCATTCCTTCCTGTTTTATTTTTCTTCACAGCACTTAACTACATCTACCATGCATCTTTTACTTAGTAATTTTGTTTTCACCTTCCCCTATTAGAATTTAAACTCTGTGAGTGTAAGAATTTTTCTAGCACTAGAAAAATGCCTGGCACATAATAGGCCTTTACTAATTGTTGCATGAATGAATGATTATGAGTTTAATATTCTTTGTGGAAACTAATAAGGTTGATTTCCTATCAGAAACTGGTCATTATTAATAAGCATATTTGATGGTATTTATAGAATTAGGCTTCATATATTCTCTACTCAGAAGTTGGCAAACTTTTTCTGTGAAGTGCCAGAGAGTAATTATTTTTGCAGGCTTTGTGGTCTCATTACAGCTACTTGTCTCTGTTGTTGTAGTGGAAAATCAGCCATAGACAATCTATAAATGAGTAAGCATGGCTGTGTTCCAGTAAGACTATTTATGGACACTGAGATTTGAATTTTATATAATTTTGAAATGTCAGAAAATATCCTTCTTTTGTTTTTGTTTTTTCTAGTCATTTAAAAATGTAAAAACTGTTCTTAGTTCACAGGCCAAACAAAAACAGGCAGTGGTCCAAATTAGACTTGCAAACTATAATTTGCCAATCTCTACTTTTACTGATTTCTTAAATATATCTTAGGTTAAAACTTATTTTTCCATACTTGATAGGGAGCAACAATGTGAATTAAACTCTAGAAACAAATAATTCAGAAATATGTCTGTTTGTCTTTAAAAACTTCCATTTTGCTTCATTTTTGTTTTCCTGGGAACCTTATATTTCCATTATATGTTTATGATGTTACCATTTAAATCACTTTGCATTCTCTTAACATATGCCACGTGATAGTGCTGGGGCGGTGTAATAGTTCAGGAGCAAAGCTGGGCAAAGCCCACCCACATTTAACAATTTGCCATTATTTAGAAGGTGCATAATTCCCGTATGGGAGAATCAAGAGTCATCTAATAATGCCCAGAGAACTGCACTGTGAATGAGAATTGTGTTGCAGTTTTTAACATCATTCATAACACATTTCTTGAATAAGCTGCAAATGCTTTTAACAATATATCTCAGAGTTAATTTTAGCTATGCTACATTGGCACTTTTTGCTCCTCCACTTCAAAAAACGAACACAAGAAACTATTCTCAAATCAAGCTGTGATTTGGATGGGGCATTGTATTTTCCTCAGTAAGCATAAAGAAGAGAGAAAAAATGTTTTCACTTGCAAAACTTTTTTTTTTTTTTTTTTGAGACGGAGTCTCACTCTGTTGCCCAGGCTGGAGTGTAGTGGCACAATCTCGTCAGCTCACTGCAACCCCTGTCTCCCGGGTTGAAGCGATTCTCATGCCTCAGCCTCCCGAGTAGCTGGGATTACAAGTGTACACCACCACCCGGGCTAATTTTTGTATTTTTAGTAGAGCCAGGGTTTCACCATGTTGACTGGGCTGTTCTCAAACTCCTGACCTCAGGTGATCCCCCCCACCTCAGCCTCCCAAAGTGCTGGAATGACAGGTGTGAGCCACTGTGCCCAGCCCACTTGCAAAACTTTTTAATATTTCTAAGGCTTTTTACGTACTTGATTTTGTTCAGTTCTTACAATAATCTCATGATGTAGGTGACCTTATTAACTGTTTACAGTGTGAGAAAATGGATAGTCAGTGAGGATAAATAACTTGTCCAAGGTCATAGCACCAGAACTCCAAACAAGACCCTCTGACCTTCTTAGATATAGACTCCTCACAGTCACCTGCGTGCCATCTTTGGTTTCAGTGCTATGAACTTTCTTCACTGCCTGTTGGTCTCTAGCTTCACCTACTCATGAAGATGCCCAGAGCCTTAGCTGCTCCTGGCTCTGCCATGCATATCTTATGCAGCTTTGGGAGGGGTGAAGAGGCTCTGGCCAGTTACCTCACTACCACTGTAGCTATTCACCAGCCCTGTTTTCTCTAGCCATTTAAGCTACTATGCAATTCTTCTGGGCATGTTCTGTCTTAGTTCCCTGGTATCTGGCCTTCCTTCTTTTCTCAGTAACTGTGACCCCTGCAGAGCATACCTTGCCAACCAATGGTTAATGAAAGGTCTTGGATATGACTGTCAAAGACAAAAGCACTCATGACCCCAATGTTTCAGGTCACAATGATTAAGAAAATCAGGACAACAAGGCTTGGGCATAGGAAGAGCTGGTTTTTGAGGGGGGGATTTAGAGTTTGGTTTAAATGTGTAATATTTGAGGTTATGGTGGAACAGCCTACTAGATTCAGTTTTCTAGTCCCTGAAAACTAAAACGAGGAATAAGTTGAATCACATATTTGGGGCACCAGCCAAATACATAGCAGCATTTATAGTTAGAATCAAAGTCTTTGTGTTTCTTAATTTAAATGCTTCTCAGAGATTCCATTTAAACATCTTCATTATGAAAATGGAGACTTCCCATGCCTTTTTGATACTGTTCAGAGAAAATTGTCATAAATAATACACACAGTTTTGAAATGGTTGTACATCTTATGAATCAAGAGGTGGCATATAAAAAGGTTCCTCAGTGCCTCAATTTGGAAAATATCATAGAATGTTATTCTTCAATTGTTTCCTTCCTTCACTTTGGTGTTTATACGGTATCTTAGATATTTTATGTTATTTTAATTATATTTTGTGCCTTTTTATTTGGTTAAAAATGCCTACTACTTAAATATTAACAGATTTTTAAATATCCGTTTGAACCCTTCCCTATTCCTGTACCTCCTTTCCCTTTTTCTGTTGCAATGTCAACCACCCGAACATAACCCAGAAAACTAGGTATTGGCCAATTGATGTTTCAGTGGAAGTAAAAGAAAGAAGAACTTACTATTTCTCTGTGCTTAATTGAGGAAAAGCACATAGTATCTTACATATTTTAAATTTGAAGGGGATAATAAGGTCAAGTTCATGCATTATCTTTTAGACATCTTAATCCTATCAAATGGCTTTGTCAAAATGAGAAAGTTAATGAATTTAAGCAGACAAGTATGAACAATGCTCAAAAAAGGTGCTGTTACACCATCCCAGCCTGTGCGCACATGAAAAAAAGCTGTGGTGCATTTTGCCTTTGAATAAGGGTCATGTTGACTGGTCATGGCAGTCCCTGCTAGACCATACACCTGGTATTCTGTCACCTGCTCAGACTCAAAAGGACATGGGAATATGTTGTTAAGTTCTCTAAGGACTCCTTCTTCTAAAGGGAAGAATTTTTATAGGTGGTACTTGTAGGTCTGTTGATTCACAATCTCATGCTTTCTTGATTGGACTGTATTGTATTACTGTAATTTTTTTGGACTTACAAGAAGTCAGGTGTTTTCATGGACTTTTCTCTTTTCCATATAGATGTCCAGAGGGCTTCTTGGGAGAATATTGTCAACATCGAGACCCCTGTGAGAAGAACCGCTGCCAGAATGGTGGGACTTGTGTGGCCCAGGCCATGCTGGGGAAAGCCACGTGCCGATGTGCCTCAGGGTTCACCGGAGAGGACTGCCAGTACTCGACATCTCACCCATGCTTTATGTCTCGCCCATGCCTGAATGGCGGCACATGCCATATGCTCAGCCGAGATACCTATGAGTGCACCTGCCAAGTTGGGTTTACAGGTAACTAATGAGACCAAAGCCAGTGCTTTCCTACCTTCAGCAGATACCTTTATTTAGCATCTTTTAGATCATGGTGTTTGGCTCTTAAGTGTCCCCCAGCTCTGGTGCACATTTAACATTATGGTAAGTAACTGGGATGTTCCAGACATCTATCCCTAACTTCCTTTTAAGAGTTTCAAGGGGCAGAGAAAGAGAAAGAAAAAGGACCAAATACTTTGACAGCTTGAAGTATATATGTCAGGGCCAGGTGCGGTAGCACACGCCTGCAATCCCAGCACTTTGGCAGGCCAAGGCAGGAGGATCACTTGAGGCTAGAGGTTTGAGACCAGCCTGGGAAACATAGCAAGACCCCATCTCTACAAAGAAAAAACAAGAATAAAAATAAGACAAAATTAGCCACTTATGGTGGTATGCACCTGTAGTCCTAACTACTTGGGAGGCTGAAGTGGGAGAATTGCTTGAGCCCAGGAGTTTGAGGCTGCAGTGAGCTATGATTGCACCACTGCACTCCAATCTGGGTGACAGAGTGAGACTCTGTCTCAAAAAAAAAAAAAAAAAAAAAAAAAAAAAATGTATACCAGGATGGGGAATCAGAATTTACTTAACTAAAAGAAATAACTACACTGTCACCAGAGGAAAAGTTACTAATGTTATTGACTGTTTGCTTTTAGAAATCTCCCTCCCTAGACATTCAGGGCACTGTTCCTTTTGCTTCTTCATTGCTTTGTTCTTATCCATTAAATGTTTGTGCTCCCTGGAGCACTGTTTTGTGCCCTCTTTTGAGCCACATCACAGCTCTCCCTAGGGAATTTCACTATCTTTATTCGCCTCCACTGCCACTGTCTTCATCAGTTGTTGATGAATCTCACCATCATTCCCTTAGCTCCACCCAACCCTGACATTCAGGCTCATGTGTCTAGCTATCCTTTGCTTGTTCTCCTTGGAGATATTCTCCAGGTACTTTCAGCTCTCCATGTTGATAGAAATATGTAGCAACAATGTACATCCCAAATATCCATGTTAGAAACTCCCTGTGGCTTGTTCTTACCTCACTTCAACTCAGTCACCCAAGCCAACCTCTCACCTGTCTATTCCTCCCATTTCCTCTGCTACCCTGTAGTTGAGGGCCGTGTTATCTCTCACCTGGAGTTCTGAAGTAGTTTCTGAATATGTTTTCTTGCCTTTTTTCTCTCCCCATCTCATTCACCCATGATATTACTACATCTTTAATTATAAATGCAAATGTTCCAACAATCTCACCTGCTTACAATGTCTAATGTTTTTTCATCATCCACAGAATAAACTGCAAACTCTTTTACATGGCTTCCATAGCTCTTTACAGCCTAGACTTTACATCTTTTTGTAACCTGACCTCCCCACAAGCATCTAGGCCTAGTCACACCAAATTCTCCTTATTTCCTGAAAATGTTGTACTTATTATTGCTTCCATACAGTTACACACCCTTTTGCCTGGAATGCCCTTTTCTACAACTGGTGATTGTCCAGTGTTATTTAAAACTGTGTCTTAGTGACCCTTTCATGATTCCTTTAGGCAAATGGTCTCTAAGTTATACTATTTTTATGCATCACATTTTGTTGTAATTTTTTTTGTGCATCTCTCACCTGAATAGATTGTGGGTTATTCTAGGTGGGTTTTTAATCTTATTCAAAAGTGTTTATTAAATTAGATGAGAAAAGGAGAAGCATTCTTCATTTTTTCTCCTGCTTTAAGCACTAAACCAAGAGTTCTATAAATGCAATAAGCAAAAAGTGAAAAATGTACTCAGAAAACTATACTGGATTAGTTAGTGTAGCATACTGTTATATTAATTTTTCATTGTATTGGGGTTCTCTAGAGGGATGGAACTAATGGAATGTATATGTATGTATATATATTCCAACCCAAAGCGTCTTGGTGGCAATCTTAATATATATATAATATTTTCTATATATATTTACATATTTTATATATATATATATATATATATATATATATATATATATATATATATAAAGGGGAGTTTATTAAGTATTAACTCACATGATCACAAGGTCCCACAATAGGCTGTCTGCAAGCTGAGGAGCAAGGAGAGCCAGTCTGAGTTCCAAAACCAAAGAACTTGGAGTTCAATATTTGAGGGCAGGGAACATCCAGCATGGGAAAAAGATGTAGGCTGGGAGGCTAGGTGAGTCTCGCTTTTTCACGTTTTTCTGCCTGCTTTATATTTGCTGACAGATGATCAGCTGGTGCCCATCCAGATTAAGGGTGGGTCTGCCTTTCCCAGCCCACTGACTCAAATGTTAATCTCCTTTAGCAGCACTCTCTCAGACACACCCAAGATCAATACTTTGTATCCTTCAATTCAATCAAGTTGACAGACTCAGTTTTAACCACCACAAGTCTACCCCTTGTCAACTTGAACCCATACACCTCTCCTGAGATCATACATGATCTTCAAATAAAGACAATAATTTGGTCATAATTACACCTAATGTAGTACAACTATTCTTCGTACATCTGGAAACGTACCAATCCCCAACTGAAATACTCTTTACATAAAGTTAACAATACTTAAATGCTTACATGAAGTCAGTAAATCTTATGTCACATGATAAAGGAGAAGGGAAATAAAATGAAGATATTTTCTTAGTACAAGTGTGTACAAGCACAGATACGTTTTAATAAAAGAAGGAGGAAATACTGAGGACAATTACAGTCCTCGTTTCTGCAGCTGGTCACATGGTAGTAAGTGGTATTGATGACTACCTTCTTCTGCCCATTTCGTATTCCTTTTGCCTTCAGCAAGCACCTCAGCAGGTTGTGTTTTTTTTTTTTCTCCCTGGTGGAGAGTCCCAAACCTTCGTTCCTGAGGGATCTGGACCATTTGTAGTCCTGCCTGGATTGGGCTGTTGTAATTTGCCATTGACCTTAATCAGAGGGCATGATAATACTAAGAGACACCCTAATGGATCTCCTGTATTCCATGAATACTCTTTCTTACCTCCATTGTGGAGTAGTAGACTGATTTCATCTTGATAGCCTGGGTCTTGATAGCCTTGATAGCCCAGCCAACACTGTAACGCCCTTCTTAACCTGTTTACTTAAAGGTCGGAGGAACCCAAAGTGTCCTGGTGGCAATCTTAACTACCAGTTTAATGGAATTGTTGTTTTGTCTCCCTGGTGGCAGCGTTCCTCCCTCTGGAACTAAGACCTCTAGGCCCGCAGAACTTAATGTTGTGGGAACAGGAAGCAAACATTTTGCTAGTGGATCACTAAAGGTGATGGTGAGTGATGCCACTTCCATTTCCACCCCTTGATTCCTGGATCTCTGAATCCTGACTATGGGAGAAACAGTACCATGTATTGGACGCTGATTCAGAGCATACACGGCCTTCTTGAGAACTTTGTCCCAACCGTGCAAAGTATTCTCACCTTGTTGGCACTGTAATTGTGACTGCAAAAGGCCATTCCACCATTCTGCCTCAGGATGTTGGGGAACATGGTAAGACCAGTGATTTCCATGAGCATGAGCCCACTGCTGTACTTCTTTAGCCATAAAGTGAGTGCCTTGGTCAGAGGCAATGCTGTGTGGAATACCATGACAGTGGGTAAGGCATTCCATGAGTCCAGGGATGGTAGTCTTGGCAGAAGTATTGCATGCAGGATAGGCCAACCCATATCCAGATTAAGTGTCTATTCCAGTAAGGACAGACATCTGCCCTTTTCATGATGGAAGAGGTCCAATGTAATCAACCTGCCACCAGGTAGCTGGCTGATGACCCCGAGGAATAGTGCTGTATCAAAGGCGCAGTGTTGGTTTCTGCTGCTGGCAAATTGGGCACTCTGCAGTGGCAGTAGCCAGGTCAGCCTTGCACTGGCCCATCTTATTTTCTTCACTGGGAAGGTGGAGCATGAGCACAAATGTTAGGACCTGAAAGGTGGTGAACTATGCCTGGGCAGGGCAAAGCCAGAGGAAACTCTGGTGGAGGTCCATAGCAGTCCTGATGTGCAAATCAGTCATCCAACCTGGGTGTAGGGACGAAAGATCTACCGTCTAGAAGCTGGTTCCCTCCAAAGTTTCCCTCAGGATAGCTGGCACTCTGGCAAAAAAACCCACTCTCGGTACCAATTTACTGTATTAGTCCACTTTCATGCTGCTGATAAAGATATACCTGAGACTGGGAAGAAAAGAGGTTTAATTGGACTTTCAATTCCACATGGCTGGGGAGGCCTCAGAATTATGGTGGGAGGCAGAAGGCACTTCTTTCATGGTGGTGGCAAGAGAAAATTAGGAAGAAGCAAAAGTGGAACCCCTGATAAACCCATCAGATCTTATGAGACTTATTCACTATCATGAGAATAGCACAGGAAAGACTGGCCCCCATGATTCATTTACCTCCCCCTGGGTCCCTCCCACAACACGTGGGAATTCTGGGAGATACAATTCAAGTTGAGATTTGGGTGGGGACACAGCCAAACCGTATAATTCATCAAAATGTGTTGGTGGGGTAGAGGGTAGTTAGGATGATCCATTATCTCCATTATGACGATGGTAGCATTGATGATGTAAGTCGTTGAAAATATTTGGTGGTTATAAGAATAATTTCTTCTTGATAGTCAGTTTTGAGTTGTTTTGCTATTATGAAGCAAAGTGGGGGCACACATACCTATTTAAAATATTTTAATTCTGACTAGTGGAAATGACACTAATGCCTTCTTCATAATTAAAATGCCACTCTGAAATAGTCCCCAGATTAAAACTTCTTCCTTTGCTGTTAAAAAGGATCTCTTCTTGGTGTGTTCTGCAAGATTCTGATCTTTTTTTTTTTTTTGAGACGGAGTCTCGCTCTGTCACCCAGGCTGGAATGCAGTGGCACCATGTGTGCTCACTGCGAGCTCCACCTCTTGGGTTCACGCCATTCTCCTGCCTCAGCCTCCTGAGTAGCTGGGACTACAGGTGCCCGCCACTACGCCCGGCTACTTTTTGTATTTTTAGTAGAGACGGGGTTTCACTGTGTTAGCCAGGATGGTCTCGATCTCCTGACCTCGTGATCCACCTCGGCCTCCCAAAGTGCTGGGATTACAGGTGTGAGCCACCTCACCCGGCCGATTCTGATCATCTTTTATACATTTGCTACTTTTGTCTATCACTGTAGGAATCATCACAGATCAAGGTCATCCTTTTGGTCTTTGTGATAGCTCTATACCTCAGTGAGACCTTACTAGCTCATCTCTACTCAGAGATGAAGAAGCAGAGGCAGCAAGTTAGTGCTTATACATAATATATATGGAAACCAAATTCAAGGTTCTGTTCCCTTCCCTTCCCCCTTCCCCTTCCCTTTCCGCTTCCCCTTCCCTTTCCCTTTCCCTTCCCTTCCCTGTCTCACTCTGTTGCTCAGTACAGTGGCATAGTCTCTGCTCACTGCAACCTCCATCTCTTAGGTTCAAGTGATTCTAGTGCCTCAGCCTCCTAAGTAGCTGGGATTACAGGCATGTGACGTGAAGCCTGGCTAATTTTTGTATTTTTAGAAGAGGTGGTGTTTCACCATGTTGGCCAGCCTGGTCTCTCCTAACCGCAAGTGATCTGCCCACCTCAGCCTCCCAAAGTGCTGGGATTACAGGCCTCAGCCACCACTTCTGGCCCAGGGATCTTTCTGTTTCAGTTGTGGGCATCACTCTGAAAATCACACTTGCCAGAAGTGAGCATTTATATCTCTTCTCCACTGTAAGTGTCTCTTAGTGGCATGAGTGGAAAGACAGGAAGAATTGCAGTTCCTTCATTTTCTGTCTTAGCTCCCTGAGATGTATATGCTGTACCTAAATTTGTGTTACACTTTTCTCCTTTGATTTGACATTCCTTGATAGGCAGAGAACACTTTTCTGTGCTCATATGTCACATGTCACATCTTTTTCCCTTATGGAAAAACTCTTGTGTCTCCCATTTACCTTTCTGTGGGGTCAGAGATTTAGATACTTTCCCAGACAATCAATTGGAGTATTAACAAATTCAAGAAGTTCTCATCTCTGTAGTTTAAATAATAAAAGACTTAGACTAATGAAAACAAAAAGCCAGCCATGTACATATCAAATTTTCTAGTTCTGTGAGCATATTTTTTTCTCTTTCTCTTTCTACCTCAAATAATCTGCTTTGCTTCCCCCGGCATCATGATTTAGTTTTCAACCCGTCAGAGTCTTCCTGCTACTGCTGCTGGTACTTGCCTACTTGAGAAAGTCCACAGAATACTTTCTAGGCCTCTGTCCTCCTGATGGCTATTTCATTTGATATATAGGGACCCAGAGGTCCTTCATCATTTTCAAACACATCAAGTGATATTTATAGCAAGGCCACAATTAATAAAATGTTTCCCAGAATATATGTGTATGTTGCATTTAGAGGAAACAGAAATAGTATTCACTTGTTTCTATCACCAGAGGTCTACTTAGTAACTATATTTTGTGGAAAATATTGATATATTTTATCCATTCAATAGACATGATTTGAGAGCATACCATGGAGACCCAACCCTGCCAGTGTGGCAGGTGGTATAATAGAAGGAAACAGCAAACTTGGTGTATCTGTGTTTGCACATGTGTGTATGTGTGTGGGGAGCACTAAGGATGACTTTACAGAGGTTGGAACTTTAGAGCAGAGTTGCCAAGATAAGTAAGAGTTCACTAGGGAAACAGAAGGAAAGTTGATATTTCTTTCTTTTTTTTTTTTTTTTTTTTTTTTTGAGACAGAATCTCTCTGTGTTGCCTAGGCTGGAGTGCAGTGGTATAATCTCAGCTCACTGCAACCTCCGCCTCCCTGGTTCAAGTGATTCTTCTGCCTCAGCCTTCTGAGTAGCTGGGATTACAGGTGCGCACCACCATGCCCAGCTAATTTTTGTATTTTTAGTAGAGATAGGGTTTCACCATATTGGCCAGGCTGGTCTTGAACTCCTTACCTCATGATCTGTCTGCTTCGGCCTCCCAAAGTGCTAGGATTACAGGTATGAGCCATGGCGCCTGACCCAGAAGTTGATATTCAAACAGAGGAGCAGTATATGCAAAGACAGTGAGCTCTGAGAGAGTAGATGGATCCAGACTCCTGTTGCTGATAGCATCCTGCAGGGTTGGGCTTCAATGTGACTAACCTACAGTTGCCTCCAGGTGCTACACCCACTGAGTCCTTGTGTCTCTGCTGAGGCCCTTGGAGAGTTACTGGAGAGGGCTCTGTGTCAGATGACCTTGAGGAGGCTCTGATTTAGCCTTTTGTAAAATGCAAAGAGTTGAGGTCTTCTCCATGCAAGAGCTCCCTGATGTCAATGCGGTATTCAGGATGGGGCCATCTCCCATTTCTGTGGCCAGCACTGAGTTTTGTTATCCTTCCTTTAGGTAAGGAGTGCCAATGGACTGATGCCTGCCTGTCTCATCCCTGTGCAAATGGAAGTACCTGTACCACTGTGGCCAATCAGTTCTCCTGCAAATGCCTCACAGGCTTCACAGGGCAAAAGTGTGAGACTGATGTCAATGAGTGTGACATTCCAGGACACTGCCAGCATGGTGGCACCTGCCTCAACCTGCCTGGTTCCTATCAGTGCCAGTGCCCTCAGGGCTTCACAGGCCAGCACTGTGACAGCTTGTATGTGCCCTGTGCACCCTCGCCTTGTGTCAACGGAGGCACCTGTCGGCAGACTGGTGACTTCACTTTTGAGTGCAACTGTCTTCCAGGTAAGGAGCTCCCTAGTGTCCCAGGATTAGGGGACAAACCCCTAGCACAGGAGGTAGTGGGTGTGGCTCAATTGCTTTTTTTAGGAAGCTTCCTAAAGCAAGGAAAAAGGGAAGTGAGAATTTTGTGTGGGGTGGGTTGCTAGTGAGGGAGGAGTTTTATGGGCCCACTGTGGTCCATAAACTGAGCAGGGGGTAATTTAGCATGTCAGGGTTTATGATGATGAGTGGCTAGAAAATTGTTTATTGTCCCTTTTGTAGAAACAGTGAGAAATAAGAGGAACAGAGCTCTGGGAAAGAGACAGGCAAGTCTGGAATGAAAAAGAACACGATGAGAATTAGACATTGGAAAATATGTATGTGTGGTTAATAAAGTGGTTTAAACTGAATTGACATTAACAGTAGGTGATCAACTTTCGTATGTGCTTTTGCTTTTGATGGAGTAATTCTTTGTTATCCACCTAAAAGTACCCAGCTGCCCTTGATTTTCTCTGGGTTACTGGCCTTCACAACCCGCTCCCGTGTACCCTCTCTGACTTTGGTGTAACCCTCCCCTAACTTAAAGCTAGAGAATTCTGTAACTGAGGAAGGAGTTCTCTGTTAATCAGTGAGCACTTTTTGATGAGCTGATAGATGATATGTGAGAGACTATGCATGGCACAATACTTTGATACACTCTTCACTGATAAAAGTGTTCTAGAGTACACACACAACCCAAAGATAGAAACAAAAGGAGGAGCAGTGTCAGGGAGCTTGGGGCCTGGTGTTCCATGGAGAGGGAGAAAGGAACAATCCTGGCCAATTCATTCAGCTCCTTATAAAAACCATGAGGAGGCTGAAAACCAAGAATTTTGATTGGGAACAGAATACAAGCAGCTGGAGCAGATGAATTACTAAGCAACAAAGATCCTGTTTTTATACAAATATCCTTAGTACAAAAACAAAAGGAAAACTGTAGGGGGGAATAATGTGCTAAGTAAGCAGAATTGCCTCAAAAAGAAGTTGTTCTAGTTACTCTTTCAGAGTGGGAATCTTAGATTCTGGTATTGTGGATATGGTTCACATATAATGGGATTGTGTGTTTTATTTTGGAGGGATTAAAGGTCATAGGTTGGTCCTCAGTATGAAATCAACTGGTAATTTATTTATTTCATTTGGTAAAAATGTATTGACTGCCTGCTATGTTCTAGGCACCGTGCTATGTATTTGGAATACAGCTATACAAAGCATTGCCACATAATTGAAATGAAAACTTTATATTATTTAACTAAGTCACAAGAACAAGCATTTAATTGTATTACTTTTAGTTTCTCTTTTAATAAATAATAGATAATGCTATCATTCTAGATACTAAATAAGTGTTTTCTTAACATAATATTACTATCCACTTTATCTTGTAGAAAAGAAATAACTAAAATACATCTGTCTTCACTCCTGTATTTGTTTGCATTTTAAGGGTTAAAGACAGAAATAGAAATGTAAACAACTTTATTTTGAAAATATTTCAATATTGCAAATATTGTCTGAGGCTGATACTCTAGTAATCTAATTGACTAGTAATTGATGTTAGTGTGATTTATTGTTGAAGGCTTAATGTGTTTTTCAGTTTCAAGAAAATTGCTTTTAATAATTGCCTAGAACAAGAGGTTGATTTGGCAGCAAGATGTTGACGGGAAGTTAGAGAAGTCAATAAAGGAAGTTTTTAGCTGAGAGAGAGTGATTATTCACTCCCATAGCCTCTGCATTGTTATCCATTAGCCATGATAAGAACCTTAGGGAATTCTGAGAGTGTGTCCAGGAAAGGATCTGTCAAACTAGAATAGTATCTCCTCCTTGAGAAAGGAAATAACCAAGGATTCCGCACTGAGAGGCTGCCAGGGCTAGTGAAATAGAGTAAGGAAATCTTGGCTGTCTCTTATTCTATTCTCTGCTTGTAGTTTAACGCAAGACACTTAATTTACTCACTGATGGTGTGTGTGTGTGTCTGTGTGTGTGTGTGTGTGTGTGTGTGTGTGTGGGAGGGGAGATTAGTATGAGGGGTGGGAATGGGGAGATTTGATGAAGAGAAAACTTAGCATTTTTTTGGTGGCTCAGGAACTGTGCCAGGTACTTCCATGCTTATTAGCTCAATTACACAAAAATCTTGGGAGCAGGTATTATGTTTCAAGTCTTCCCACATGAAGTAACTGAAGTTTGGAGATGTTAAGTGATTCACCCAAAGTTGTACAGCTAATATGTGGTTAGGCTGGGTCCTGAAACCCAGGCAGTTTATTTTCAAAGCCTTTGCTTTGTGCATCTTCCTGTGCCACACTGCACTGCACAGCTGCTTCCTAAAAGCACTTGGTAGGTGTGTAAAACTTTTCGTTAAATGCTTTAAGCTGTTTGGGTTAAAAATACATGTTCATGTTGTGAGAAAACCAAGACACTCCTAATTATAATCAAATAGTACTTGTTACATGTCTGTGTGTGTGTGTGTGTGTGTGTGTGTGTGTATGGCATTGTGCAGATGTTTAAAAGTAGTTACATAGACTAGTTCTTGCTTTTCAGGGTCCCATAATCTAAAACAGATGACTTCAACTTTGGATAAATATATAGAAGGAAATTTAAAGAGAATTCAAAACAATAGATGATGCAGTGACACCGTGAATAAATGTTATTTATACAGTTTGTAAGATTTCATGCTCATTGTTCATGTGTCCCAGGTGGAGTTCAGAAAGTATTCACTTTATTTCCGCAAAGGGAAATAGTGCCTAGAGATGTATTTCTTTTAAAAAGTCCCTTTCATAATGCGGTGCCCTTCCTTCCATTGCCCTTCATTCAGTTGCTTTCCATGCTTGTCAGGAAACTAAAATGTTACTTAGAGTAATAGTCACTATCTCAATGTAAATAGCACCCTTATTTAATGAGAATTATTATTTCAGTTCTAAAAATGGGGAAACAAAGTCAGCAGGAGGCAAAGTAGCTTGTTAAAGTATCATGCAACTCTCAAATGGTTGCTTCCACTGCATTTCACGTCTTGGCACTTCTAATTGAGGGTTACTCTAACCACCCTATTTAAAATTGTAACTATCCCCCACCCCCTTAATTACTAACCCTGGTCTACTTTTTGTTTTCTTTTTCTGTAACTCTTATCTTCTTACTATATAATTTATACTATATAATTTACTTCATTATGTCTATTGTTTATTGTCTGTCTTTTCCAAATTCTACTGCCTCTTACCCTCTCCAGAATGAAAACTAGGATCTTTGTTTTTGTTTACTGTTGTATTCCAAACACCTACAAACAGTGCCCAGTATATACTAGGCCTGCAAATATATATTGGCTGACTGACTGTATGGTTTAGTATCATGTTATAGTATTGAGACTGTAACTTTGGTCTTCTCATTTTCTTCTTTGTATTGTGCATCCTAGACTTAGTTTGGCCTCTCCTTTTGTCCTTGTATACTCAAATAATACTGGATAAGAATTTTGGAGTCTTTTTCAACTCTGAGTCAGTGAATGCCACATAACTTAGTGACTATATTTAAATGGTTAAGTTACAGTTCTTTTCCTGCAAAGGATATTGTAGTCACTGTGAGTATTTTAGTATTATTGTAGGACTCAAGAGGGAATTAAAACTACAAAAATGACTCATCCTGTATGACACAGAAAGAAATGTTTCTTCACAGAGGGAGGAGAAAAATATCTCCAAGAGAGAACTAATAGAATCAAATCAATGAACCATGTCTCATCTTTTTGGATAAGTAACTGTTAATAATCCAGACACTTCATGAACTTTCATTATGTAAAGTCTTCAGTAGAAGCTAAAGGAGGGGCACCAACCACAGTAATTTTAAGAACAAAATGGAGCATGAAAATAAATGATTAAATCATTTACTCCCACTATTTTTGGGTTAGGGCAATAATGAGGAGAGAAAGAGGTAGACTAGTTTTGTGTTTGTGGCAATTTTAATAAAGTAGCACAAGTAATCAGAAAACAGTAGGCTGTTTTGAATTTACTGGCTGTCCCTTATGAGTTCGCAGTTGGATTGGACTGTCCTCAATGTACTTTCTTTTTTTCTTTCTTTCCCACATCTCTTTATTCCTCTGATTTTGTTTAAACTTCATAAAGAGTTCTCTGATCTTTCCTTTCCAAACAATGAAGGTTTATCCTTTGTAAACCACCTCTATACTCCACAGGCTGATGATATGTGATATCCCTATATCATTAAAGTAAAGCCTAAGCACATTCTGTGGCTTTTGTGTCTACTCTGTTGTTGCTGAGCTTAAGAACTATTAGAAATAATTCCCTCTTGCATTTTCACACATGGGGAATGTGACGTTCTTTTGGGTATTACGCTAATCATATTTTGGCAGGTTTCTCTGGAGCAGATGCAGAAATGATCATACCACTTTCCAGGGTGTATTATTTTAGCTCCTTTGACTTGGGCCCTAAGTCCGTTTTACCTGATGTTCCTGAAAGATGTTCCTGATGTCCGTCACTGTTCTCTCATGCTGGATGTTCTTGCCTATGCTGCCTCCTCAGCTTTCTATCACCCTCTTCCCCTTTTTTATATAGAACTTATTCTTAGTGATTTGTCAAAGATACCCTATTTCACTGAAATGTCTTCTATATTCCCTACCCTCCAAGTGGATTGGAGACCTTCTAAGGTCTTTTGACATCTGCATATCTCTAGCACAGCACTTATCATGGTGATTATTTATCTGTTCATCTTTCCAAGTAGGCACTCTCATTTTAACTCCCTACCCTAGTCCCCAGCATCTCCAGCATAGTGCCTGTCATAAAATGGTGCATCAATGAATACTTGAAAAATGAATGAATTGAACGTGGTAAACAGAGATGAGAATTCCTATATTCTACAATTTTTAAAAATGTACCGAAATTATTGTCTTTGAATCCTCTGATTTATTTCTTTGACTTCTTTGGTGACAACGTTAGAAAAAAGTGGAGGTCAATAGGAAGATATGAAGGGAAGCAGGTGGGAACAGCGAGCCTGTGCAG